ATATCAAACAAGAGATGCTCATATTCAAATAATGACAGTTAAATCAAGGAAACATATAGTCTTATAGAAAAGATAATTTTCTATCATATATTTCATGTGACAAATTATACTTTTGTACATGTGCTTCTGGCACTAATACAATCTCAATGAACTACTTTTACATCACTACTCTTAATTTATTGTGTCCATGAGTATTCATTTGGTTGGATTTCATTATTCTCAATCTCATGTATTACTTCAGGAATACAAACTGTTCATAACACATTATAAAAAAAATTTCGATAGCATCTTAATTCAAAATTAGTCATTAATACTTACTCATAGTGTAATACTTTGATACTTGTATTGGTGTTGATCCTTCAGGGAGTATACCAAAACTTCACTATGAATTTATGGGAGATACTTAAGTCAATGTTGATCCTTCAGGGAGTATATAAAAACATAATTGTTGACTTATAGAAGATCCTTCAGGGAGTGTCTAAAAACTTCATCGTCAACTTACAAGCTATCGATAAATGAAATATTGGTTGACATGTTATAGACAACTGATGCATTATTTTAATCATTTTATCCATCAATGTTTAATATTAGTGCCCTTCTGGGACTACTAGTATTCAATTGAACCTTATACATTTGGATAGATAGATATTCATTAAATAATACTTCATCATTTTCATAAATGTACAATTCTATCTTCTCATCCAACCATATTGTAAAGATGATCATAAATTGAGCTACTTAGCATCAATAACATATATCCAATATTTCCACCACTTTTTGTATATATCGTCCTCTCATATACAATAGACATACTTATAATATCCCATGAATTTTTATAGTACTAAAAACATGAGACAGAAATACTTTCAAACTTTTCAAATCATGCCAGTGAAACTAAAATCTTGCAGATTATATAATACATCCTTCAGTCCATAATTTTCAAACGAACATATAATAATTCAATAATAGCCAAATTTCACCCACATATATGAATCTCATCCAAGATCATGTATAAATATTTTCAAGTCCATATATGCTCAATAGATAACTAAAACAGATTTTATATATCAAATAATCTAATCGGTCGTCTTTTTAGATTTTTATACACACGCTAATAAAAATTGGCCATTGAATTCAATGCAAAGAATTCTAATAGTGTTTGAATTAAACATATATATTCCAAACACCACTTGAAGATTAATTTATGTTGATTTCTTAAGGAAACTAACATACAGTCAGATTTCATAACTGATAATTATATCACAACAACATCAATTTTCATGAACTAATTCAACCAAAACAATCATTATCATTGCTTGGGTGAAGACATCATAAGCAAAATAATTTCGGTCAAATATTTAATGTTCAAGTTTTTATACAAATTGAACATGTTCCAACAATCAAACAAATAATTCCCTAAGCATTGGAATGCGTGAGCAAAGATGCACTGATGCATAAAATTGTGACAGTTTGATGCGTAACACAAAAATATATATAAGGTTTCAGGATGGACAAATCATCAGAGCCGATTCAAGTTTCATATATGCGAACAAAATTATGCGTCCAGTTCGATCGGCCAAATATGCATAAGTTATCATGCGATTACTAATGATTCATACAACAAATTATTGATATTGAATAGATCTTGAATGTTACCTTGACAGAAAAGACACGATTCTTTTTTAGGGCATACATCTATTCTTGATTGTTATCTTAATTGCCTATTCGTCTTCATGCCGCTGTCGTTCGCCTAGATGGTAGAGTACTCGTGCTGATAACGTGTTGTAATATAGATTGTCAATATGTAAGATAGACAAGATAGACAAAGAGAGAAAGTAATAGAAGAGAATAAGAGAGAAGAGACGCCGTAAAGTCTCATTTTATTCATTCACTTGAGCCCTATATATAAGGAATACAATGTACATGAGTAAAGACCTAATGGGCTCCTGACCCATACCTACAAATCTTATATCTAGGTAATGTCCACAAATTAATATTTACAACATTTTGTATGTATATATACATAATTATCAGTTTTGCTATTTATGTAAGTAAGCTGAGAATATGGTATAGTTAATTGTTGTATATAGAAGGTTGACTCCATTATGAAGTCAAATGTTGACTTCATAGCAAAACTGACACAATTATTCCTTTTGAATATTTATAAAAGTATACAATAATAAATAAATAAATAATCTCATATAATAAAAATATATTTTAAAAATTGAATTTCATAATTTTAAATTTCTTTGTTGGAGATCAATCGTGTCGACTAAATATGTTATTGTATTATTTATATTTAAAATAAATTCTTGTGTGAGATAGTCTAACCGTTAGACGAGTTGACGCTCATACTATTTGAACAAAAATACAAACTTATTACATATTTCAGTAAAAATATGTATATTTATTAAAAGAGTATGTCGGCCCAATAGTTACTGTGTAACACAAGACTACCAGTATACTTAAATATATAAAGTTTTTCGTAACTCCTCTTTTCAACCATTCTTCATAAAAAAATATTAAAATAACAGTAAATATAAAATTAAAAGATAAAAAACTTATTATTATTTTTTAAATTACAAATTAATGTGCCCCATGCTACTTAGGGCCCCGTCTAACATGTTCAAGAATTCAACAAGTTAGTAGAAAATGAAAATCTATCTAAATGAGTAAAATTAATTGCATTTTTCATGAGGCAGTTGTTATATTGTCCAATTATCAAATTTGTTTTACTCCCCAAGCATATAAATATTAATATTTATTTATAAATATTATTAATATATATTTTTCCCATTGCTTGGGTGTAAATCACTTGGAATTTAAAAAAATAGACCAAAATGCATGTATTTTTTTTCTAAATTACTTGCATATTTAGGAACCACACTAAGATTGACAGCTCAATACTCACCAAATTCAGCTTCTCATCAACTGTTCCTCTCTACATCTACACATGAATATGATAACTACCTTATACTTGTTCATGTGTATCTATCTTAATTGTAAACAAACTTGAGAACAAAGTTATATTCTTTGTTGAAAATCAAAGAAATTATTTTGTTCCATTATTACATAAATAAAACCACACTAAGGTTGAATTTTGGAAAAAAATTGCAGTTTTCTGCCATAAAGGTGAAGATTGGATGAAATTGACACAAAATTCAAAGTTAATGTGTAAAATTGGAAACTCAGAAAGTTGTCAGATTAGAATTGGAAGTTTTTCGTCAAATAATTAACGTTAACTGTGGTGTCATTTGCGATGTGTAAAATTGTAAGTGGTTGAAGAAGTGCAATAAATTGAATAGTAAATATGATATATAATATAAGTTGCTTAGAATACATCTAGAAAGTCTTTTGGAAATTTTTCATGCCACATAAGATTATTTTTGCCATGTGACACTAAAATGGAACACAAGAAAGACAATTGGATAGGGGTGAACATGAGTCAGTACGGTTCGGAGATTGATAAATCTCCAGAATCGTACCAATGTTCGGCGATCACTAAAATCCGATCTCTAAAACCATACCCAAAAATCGGTTCGGTTCAGTTCAGTTCGGTCAGTTAAGAGATTTTTATTTTTTTTGGTTCGGTTCAGTTCGGTTTTCGTGATTATCGGAACGGTTCAGTTAGGTTCAGATATTAGGAGACTTCTTATTATTTTTGATTTTTTTTGTTTGAATAGCCACCTAGTTATATTTTATTTTTTATATGTTTTAAAACTCAACATTTATCAATACTTAATCATCCTGAAAATTGTATTTTTAAATCAACTTTCAAAGTAACCCTAAATTTTTGTTAAGACTAAATTCAACGAACACTGAAAATTCAAACAAAATATAATATAGTTTTCTTATTAAAGTACGCAATATTTATTTAATCTTCCATACCATGTTATTTATAAGATAGAATATGGCTAAGTATCGACAAAAGTTTAAATATTTTTTTTTTTAAAAAACCTTTAACATTTCATTCCATTTTACATAATTTTTTTTTTTTTTTTTTAAACGATAGAAATGCAATTATTGATCAAATATTACTAAGTATGTAATTTAAGTGAATCTTAATTATTATCACTATATTTTATTTGCATTTTAAAAATTCTCAAATTATATAGGAACAAAGTTAACATAAAATATATTAATAAGTCACATATATTTTTATAATTTGGTTATTCATCTTGGTACGGTATGAGACGGTTCGGTTCTCGGTACGGATATTTCTGAAATCTCTAGAACCGTACTAATTATTTTTTCGGTTCAGTTCAGTTCGTATAAAGTCAAACGGTCAACGGTGATTTTTCGGTTCGAAGTGATTTCGATTCTCAGCCCTACCATTGGAGATGCTCCAAACACCTTAAATTTAAATTTACTCTACACAAGTACAAATACACATTACTACCCATTATGTTAAATACATCATATATGACTAATTAAATATACACATTGTAGAGAAATCATATCAACATCCTAAACAAACAAGGCTAACAGAACACAGCTTATAGATGGATTAATTAAAAACTTTAGAAGTCAGGTTTCTATAAAAGCATGCATCATTCTACCAAACTATTTTCTCTCTATTTTCTCTTTCTTTGAGGCAAAGCTTTTTTACTCACTTAATTTTTTTCAAAAAACAGTTCTAACATAGCATCATAAATAAGGAAACATTTGAAAGGGGATCAAAACAGCAACTAATTTTGAATGTCTTTGACACCACTCTAGTGTTGTTTTCTAACACAGTTGGCCCCTTTGAAAATACAGTTTTCTACTACATTTTGTTACTATTATTCCCCCAAAATATATTAATTTTTGGCTATTTTACTATATTTTTCATCACCTAATCAACCAAACATGAAACACCCCTTATAAATACACAATCCCAACTGGCTTTTGTTCTAACATTACCACTCATCAACCTCAAAAAACATCACATAACCCATTTTTCCCATAAAGAAAGAAATCAAATTGCAAAAAAAAAAAAATAAAAAAAATAAAAAATAAAAATGGGTTCTATAGGTTTTTTTCTGGCATTGATCTCTCTGTACTTGCTTCCACTCCATGCACAAGCCGCCACTCGACACTACGAGTTCAACGTACGTTCGTCGTAACTTCTCCGTGAAAAATCAATTCTTCGAACTATAATTATACGATTTTGTGTTAATTATTTTCATGTGATCTCGTCGTGCATTTTAATTCTTGCAGATCACAACACAAAACGTGACTCGACTTTGCCACACGAAGAGCATAGTCACCGTGAACGGTAAATTCCCGGGACCTCCCATCGTTGCGCGAGAAGGCGACCGTTTGCTTATAAAAGTCACCAATCATGTCCCCAACAATATTACCCTCCATTGGTACTTCTATATATACAAAGAACTACTCCAGTACTCAACTTACATTGTAAGCTAATATTCTTGCTTTAGCTATAGCTTTTTTTAACACGATTTCATACGACAGGCACGGAATTAGGCAGCTTCGCAGTGGATGGGCCGATGGGCCTGCATACATAACCCAATGCCCGATCCAAACCGGGCAGAGCTACGTTTACAACTTCACGATAGTGGGCCAACGCGGAACCCTTTTCTGGCACGCGCACATCTCGTGGCTCAGGTCCACGCTCTACGGGCCCATCATCATTCTCCCGAAGAAAAATGAGCCTTACCCGTTCCAAAAACCGTACAAGGAAGTCCCCATTATATTCGGTGAGCGTTATTACCAAAGTTAATTGTATTCTGAATTTCGATTATGACACGAATTGTTTTGCTTAAAAATCGAGCAGGGGAATGGTTCAATGCGGATACCGAGGCCATCATTAGCCAGGCTTTGCAAACAGGCGGAGGCCCGAACGTTTCGGATGCATACACCATAAACGGGCTTCCAGGGCCTCTCTACAACTGCTCTGCCAAAGACACGTTCAGATTGAGGGTGAAGCCCGGGAAGACTTACCTTCTTCGAGTCATCAACGCCGCACTCAACGACGAGCTTTTTTTCAGCGTGGCAAACCACACGCTAACCGTGGTGGACGTCGATGCCGTTTACATCAAGCCCTTCGAAACCGACACGATCCTCATCTCCCCCGGCCAGACCTCAAACATCCTTCTCAAAACAAAACCGAAATTCCCGGGCGCAACTTTTCTAATGACCGCAAGGCCTTACGCCACGGGCCAGGGCACTTTCGACAATTCCACAGTCGCTGGAGTCTTGGAATATGAGCCCCCGCTGACATCATCATCATCGTCATCATCATCATCCCACCAACTCACGAAATTGCCACTCTATAAACCGGCCCTCCCGGCCCTAAACGACACCTCGTTCGCCGCGAATTTCACGGGAAGGCTGCGCAGCCTTGCCACGGCTCGATTTCCGGCCAACGTCCCGAAGAAAGTGGACAAACGGTTCTTCTTCACGGTTGGGCTCGGGACGAGCCCGTGCGACGGGAACAGGACGTGCCAAGGGCCCAACGGGACCAAGTTCGCGGCCTCCATCAGCAACATATCATTCGTGCAGCCCACGACAGCGCTTCTTCAGGCCCATTTCACGGGCCTTTCGAGTGGAGTTTACAGCCCAAATTTTCCCTACAGCCCGAAATGGTTCAACTACACCGGGAATCCACCGAACAACACAATGGTGGCAAACGGGACGAAGCTAATGGTTTTGCCGTACAACACGAGGGTTGAGCTGGTAATGCAAGATACCAGCATTCTCGGAGCCGAAAGCCATCCACTTCATCTCCATGGATTTAACTTCTTTGTGGTGGGGCAAGGATTCGGAAATTTTGACCCGAGTAAAGACCCGAAAAGTTTCAACCTTGTCGACCCGGTTGAGAGGAACACGGTTGGCGTGCCATCTGGCGGGTGGGTCGCCATTCGGTTTTTAGCTGATAATCCAGGTAAGTAAAGTAAACACTTTATATATCACAACACTTGAATAAAAGCAATATATGCAGGGGAAATGAGCATATGTATGGATGTATAGGTGTATGGTTTATGCATTGCCATTTGGAGGTACACACAAGCTGGGGATTGAAGATGGCGTGGCTCGTCCTCGACGGCAAACTTCCGAACCAGAAGCTTCCGCCTCCTCCGGCCGATCTTCCCAAATGCTGATAAAATGTTTCAAATTTCTCTTTTTTTTTTTTTTTTGAAATTTTCGCATGTTTGTGCTTTCGTATGTTTCCTTAACTGTAACACAAGTCAGCTGACTGAGTGGGTTTTCCCAGTTTCGCGGCATTGATTCTCCATTGTTTGCCTTTTGTAATGTTACATGAGTTAAAGTAATAAATCGAATTACATACTTCCTTTAAAAAATTTCATAAAATTTAAAATTTTCAAACAAATAGACTGATCGTGGGATAGTTGACCGGCTTTCTTTCTTTAATGAGTCAACAAAAGCCAAACTTTGGACTTTGAAGTCAAAGTCTGGTTTGGGCTTTCCGCATCAAAAGATTCCTACTCCGTGCTAGATGTTGTTCAACTACACGAATGATAGAAGCCTGCTTATTGAATACCAAATAGAGGCCCAATTGATGGGCTGATGATTGAAGCCTGCTCTCGTTGAGAAAATTGCATGACATACTTTTATACTTAAATTATATAATACTTTTGCACACCTTATGTTTTGTTCTTTAAAATTTCATAAACAAGCTAAACGATTATCAAGTATACCTAATAATCTGATTAACCGTTATTAAATTTTTTAAATATGATTGAGATATTTAAGTGAATTACCTAAAAAATATACACTTACCTAAAAAATATACACTTAGCTAAACAATTAAATATACACTTACCTAAAAAATATCAACCAAAAAGTGCAAGTTTATTCTCCCAAAAAACGCCCCACCGCCCCATGTCTCCCTCACTCTACAAACCGTTCAAGTTTTCTCGCCCAATTCAACTGTAACACCCCGCTATTTCATGAATTTCAGAGTGCGTTTTTCGCAAATTTTCTAAATAAAATAAAATAAAATATTTCTTTTGCGAAATCTGATTCGGGGTGCTACCGTAAAATCTGACTTATTCTGAAAACCGTTAAATTTTGAGTTTAATAATAAAACGGTTATATAATATATTAACCGACTAACGTCGGGTCAAAAGCTGGTTTAGAGTACTGAAAACAGTAGCGGAATCATAGCGTAGCCAAACATAATATACACATATAAACAAAAGTCCTGAACCGGTCGCCAGCTCACTCCTCGGCTCCGACTCTGTGACCTGAAAAAAAAATATGAATAACGTGGGGGCGTGACCACTAATACACTGTGCTCCGCAGAAACTCATACTGAAGTAAACAGTGAAAATAATTACAATATCATGATCCTGGCATATATAACTGAACTGAACTGAAACTAAAACTGATATCTGATACCGGTACTGAATAATCTGATACTGATCTCGTGATATACATCACCTGACTGATAACTGAACATCTGCCAGCATAAAAATGCCGGACACCATGTGCACACTCTAGTGGGCAGATTAAGGCCACTAGAACCCATAATGGACCGACGACCATTCCGAGCGGATACTGATAATACATACCTCAAACATGGTAGCGTAATTATAATCAATGTAGTACTTAGTCTGAGGCCCCACCTGATCCGTGAAAATGACAAGGCAGTGCTGATACTCGTGTCCTGATCAAACTGAAATATAATATAAACATTTACTAAGTACTATACTCAGACTGATAAAAATATCTGTTTAATTTGTTAAGATGCTCTTATTGGACTTGACATGATATTTTGATTTAATCGGTATTACTAAACCCGATTAAATACGGAACTGAACTGATATAAATTTACTGAACTGAACTGGACCCGGAAGTTTAACTGAAAACTGAGACTTAAACATGAACCGGGACTAAAACATGAAAATATGGGCTGAACCGGTCCAACCGGTCTGAACCGGACTGAACCGGTCTGGACCGGACCGCTGGCCTGCTCTGGCCGGGCGGTCGGGAGCTGGCTCGGCCAACGAGCCTGTCGAGGCTGCACGCATGGGCGCTGCCTGGACTGGCCGCTGGCGCTGGCTGAACTGGCCGCGGTGACTGCTGTTGGGCAGCACTGGGCACGAACGTGCACGTTGGCGCGTGCTAGCGTGCCACTGGGCATGACTGGCACGTCTGGCGGCCGACTATACGCAACTGAAGGCCAACTGGGACGCGTGCGTGCACTGGCGCATCACAGGCATCGAATTGGGCGCTGCCCCGCGCTATGTGCGCGGGCGCAAGCGTGACTAGCGCTGCTGGGCGCTACTACGCGCCGCAGCAGGCAACTGGGGCATGTACGCGCATGCTGGCATGCACGGCTAACTGCTGGCGGGCTACTGTCGCGACAGGCTGTGCGCGACGCCTCGCGGGCATGCGCGCTGGCTGACTGATGAAGGATCGGGTGTTGCGTTCCCTCGACTTGTCTCGATCACGGCTTCGCCACGGCCTTGCTCTCGACGATAGGTGTGATCGACTCGGTTATTAG